GAATCGTTACCTCTAATGAAGTCATTCTGTTAACCTAAACAACGATTTCTGTCGGTTAAGTTCTTATCTGCCATCATTATTGTGGCATATTTTGGCCTCCTTTGAAAAATTGCCTCTTGATTTCGGTTTTTTTCTTTGTAAACTGTTGTGTAGTTATTAGGTGTAGGTTTAAGGAATTACTTTATTTTCATATTTTTACTTGACGTAATGTAGTGTGTCGCGAATTCTCCTAGAATAACAGCCTCTACCCTCATTAAAGTAATAGTGTGATTTTAAATATCTGAGGCCCCGATCTGATCCCATGGCCTTAAACTACACACTTAAAAGAGTACTCACATTGTTGCGGCTTTTTTCCAGCACTGCCAGTCTATTTGCAGCAAACAGGGGTCGAATCCTCGTGCATTTTTTGAGCCCATTGTTTTTCTCTATTTTTATCAGCGCCTTTTTCACCCATGTATTCAATTTAAATGACTTTACCTAGTAATAATCTCGATTTTCTCCGTTTGTAACACATTCGTTTATTCATAGGCCCTAGTAGGTTCATCTGATTTACCTGAAGCGATTGTTGTCTTCGAGGAGGCTCTTCGCCTAAACCCTTCTTCCGTACTTCTGAAAAATGAGTTGCGAACGACCAAAGCAGCTTGGAAGAAACAGCGCGAACGCCATGTTCGAGCCCTTTCTCGTGCTTTCAAATTAGATGGAGTCAAGACCACGAACAAATTCAGCCCCTGCAGTAAACTGAAAGCAATAGTAAGTGCTTTCTCGTCTGTGTTACATAACATTGTGATTCGTTTTGGTGTGCGATCCATAACGTTCGAGAAAATTCTGGCTGGCAGCAAATGTCTGTAGGCTAGTTATGCGGGATGTATGTTCTCAAACATCGTTTTCCATGTTTGCGTTTTCCGAAATGCATAGTTTTTGCTACAAATTTGTTCTATTTTCAGACTACTTTTGGCCTCTATATCAAAGAAAATGCTCATTTGGACGTCTCAAAAACATGGACTCTGTGTCTAAATATGCGAAATGACAAATTTCTGTACAATAGCTTCATTCTGTTACCAATAGGTTTGGTCTGATGGGAGAGTGGTAGTATGAACTGAATTAATGAATATTCCAAGACGGCTAACATTTATTCATCGGCACAAGTGAGAACTGGAACAGGGAACTGTCATGTATGCCAGCTGGTTGATTGGCAATTTCGTTAAATTTCACTGTTCAAAATTCGCCAAGGTTCACCCGAGTAGTAATTAACTAGAGTGGTTTTTATTTGAGACTGAAGAAGTACACTTTCGATTCATGCATTCTGATGATGTCATTTTGTGTAAGGACTTACTACTCGTTTAGGGCATGCACTATTTTTTCCATTTTTCGCCTCGCTTGCAGTGGAAAGACAATGAACGAACACACTGAAATTATAATGCACGATTTCGAACCCTTTCTGAGAGGCCGCTCATTGTTTTTGAAGAGTATCCACCAAAGTTATTGATGTGGTACGAGTACTTACGCGTGAACTGTGCGAGCACTTCATCGAGACATCGTTGTTTTCAAGTGCAAAAAGCAAATCGACGCAATTTCTTAGTCCTTTTCTGGATGAAACTACCTTTCCGGGTCACTGACCATTTATCAAGCTAGCATCTGTGGGTCCAAGTTAAATGGCACGACATTGGTTTGGGAATTTTTTTCATATTCAGCAATTAAGTTGGTTGTTTGCGTTTTCTGTTTTTATTTCAGTGGTCACAATATAAATTAGCCATTTCAGCCGTTGTCGTGGCAAGCCTTTCTGTGGCAATTGGAGCTACCTTCTTGCATTTTGCGGAACGATCGTAATTCCTCTTCCGTGTCCGTGCGTACCACTCCAACAGTACTCGCCTGCAATGCCAGCCTATGCAGGTGTGCCTTGTCCTTCTGTCTCTATAGCGCTCCTCTTTGTTTAAGTTTACTCTGCTCATTGTGATCTATTCATAAATGTTTGGTTAAGTGTTTGTTTTATGCGGACAGAGCGGATGCGAGAGCATAGGTGTGCAGGCACAGGCTTAAAAGTAACCCTTGTAAATGGCAGAGCCATGTGATGACAGACAGTGGATTGAATAGGTAGTCTAGCCTGAAATTACTGTCTCTCGTGGGGCTTTCACAAACCGTTCTCAGTTTCTATTTTACTAGCTTATTTGATCATTGTGTGCATTTTGGCGTGGCCCTTCAGCGTAGTCGGGATACTACTTTCTGCTCCTTAGAAACAAGTTTGATTTAAGCTGGTCTAAATTCTGCTCCACCTCTTGCTGTTTATGTTCGGACTATTTTTTACATGGAGAAAATGAAATTATCGGTATTTGTCAGTCTCTCTAAGCTTTGTCACGACCATTATTTGCAAAGACGCAGTGTCCTAAAACCAATGATCGAATGGTGTATAACCTGGTAAATCGAGGCATAATTAAAACAGTTATCGCAAGAGTTAAAACAAGCATACACACAAAGTCTGATCTGAATTGTTTTATCCTAGAGGCTGCAGTGATTCAAACGGAATGTTGGAAATAATCAAACCAGGGTTCCCGAAAATTGCGTTGTTGGTAGAAGGGCCAGAGGTTGTTAATGTGTGTGTTTCAGTCCCATCTCGGGATGTGGGACCCATCTTGTTTCCAGTCTGGACGAGGTTGGTGGTGCCACAACATGAGTCCCATCGATTCTTCTGGTTTTCAATTCTTGCCTGTATTTGACCAGATTTAGATTTAAAACTCATGGCGATTTGCTCAGGTAGAACTGACTGCGTGGCAGGAATTTTCATCCAAGTAAGGTAACCCAATAAACTTAGTGACCCGTCGTGCCTGAACATGACAGTAATAATGGTCTAATGCGCAGTTGAGCTACTGGCTGACTCCATAGCTATTGAGAAAAATGGCAGCAACAGGTTGGTCTTACAGTTAATTTCTACTGGGAAGCCATTGTGTATTGAACTCCTCAAGCTTAAAACCTAAAAGTGCAGTTGATTGCTGGAAGCTAGACTGTGGCTGGTCGTTCAAATTGTTTATAGGCTCAAGGTTTATGTATCCATCAATTTCGTGTCAAGCGACGTCACTTACTTGAGTGAAGGGGTCGGTTATTCCATCGCCCCACATCTTCGCCCGGCATTTGGTCATAACAAGGTCCGCGCTGTTACAATGCAGCTGGTCGGGGCTATTACCATCCCCATCACCTTCACTAAAATTCCTTACTATTCTTCCTTCACGCTCACCTCGTGAAAAGCGGTTGGTTGAAAGGCAGGTTTCCAACATTGGCATTAAATTCGCGTGGACAATAGTATTTCCTGGTCGGTTCTCTGTTGTGAGGACATGAGTATTACCAGGGGCAGTCGCACTCGTGTTTGTGTCGTTTTGGTTGCAAAGCTCGGTGGCCATGGGACGTGGTCGTGCACCAACACCTGTTGGCTGTCTAAGGCCCAAAACCTGTTCCTCCGCTGATAGCACTGCCACAATTGTTGAGAGTATGGCCTAATTAAAACTTGAAATATGCTCATTTGCAACAATACTACATGGTTTTTTATGCCATTATTACACAAAGCTTTTTGTGATCTTAGAATATTACGTTGATTTTCCTTTGGGGATGGATGAGTTAAGCAAACGCTTATGGTGAAAAAAAAACTTACTGTCCTTGTTACGTTGCCTCAATAGACTTGAAAACAAGCATAATAGTAATGATTCAGATCTGAAAACACCAATTCTAGAGTCATTCCTAATTACTTAACACGCTTAAAAAGCGTTCATATAAAAGCATTTATCCATTTTTGGCATGAAGCAACAGATAATTCAATCAAAACAGGAATTTTGACACTTGACTACCTCAGTATGGCCAGTTTTGCTACAACACCAGGTTGGACAATACATAGTAGACTGCTATGTTATCTTCGTTAATTTGACGAAATTATTGCTTAATTTACGTCTGACACCCAAATAACGAGTTCGCAGACATTGTAGTAGTTCGTAAGAGTCGAATCGACGGGATACGGATCAAACTACATTTTACGACTAGTTAATATTCACAAGTCACCTCGTCCTGTTGTTGACACGGTTTTCCAGGGTTTCTAAGTCTACGGAGTAGTAGCGAGCACCACTTTTGCCTGAGATCACTTAGCAATCGGGCCACTTCTACTTCACAGTCAAAGACGAGAATACCGTTGGCTCCGTCAAAGCGAAGTGTAACAGTGGGTTTCCGTTTGAGCTTTCCATTTAATGCCTGATGTTTGCCTGATGACGTCTCTTGAAGTTGCGTGGGCTTGTCACCTGACCCTGGTTTTACAATAGCTTCAAAATATGGGGCTCTTTTATTGGGGTTGTTCGCAGTGCAATCAATCTCAAGTTGCGTAGGAAACCCAGCCTTTCCTCTTCCAGTTTCTTTGCCTAAGACATTCTCGTCCGCTTGTCTGGAATCGTACACTACAATAAGTAAAAGTCCTGTCGTCACGAGGCAATATAAAGACACACACACCGAGTGAAAAAACAAAACTGTATTAAGTCCTGCCTTCTTGGTGGGTGGATGTAATTTGACGATGCGAACCCAGTTAAACTCAATATAAAGAGAAAAGTGTGCATGTAATTGTATCAAAAGAAGCAATTGCGAAGCACTGCCTGCACTGTGGATAACGTGGCCAATTATGTGAAATCCGATTAATTGTGGTTTAGCTGAAGGCACGCATCACTTCCAAGAGCAGGAGGAGTGATGTGTAAGGTGATACTTATTCAAACTTGACGTTATTTAAAAGCCTAGATGTGGGTTGAAGTCCTTTGACATATAGGTTTAATAAGACTGAAAAATTTTGTCGCCTGCTTTGAGTGTAACTATCACATATACCTAACGCCATTTAGCATTGCGGCAACTTGCAATGTCAACTGGAAAACACGGTCTTACCGTTATCTTTGCTTGAAGTGCAGATAATTGCGGAACGAATAGGTCCGGCAACAAGCGCAGTAGTAAAGGGTGAGACGACGGTTACACAATGCAGCAACTTCCTCTTTAGTCCTTCAGACATCTTTCCTCGCCCTTTAGTCCTTTTCAGATTATAATTTTTTCCTTGCCTATCATAATTGTCTCGGGACTTTCCATCCTTCTTCAAACAACAATGACCAATCAGCCTGTCATAGACAAGCCAATGAGGGGGGAGCTTCTTGAGATCCACCGGGGAGCTGTCAACAGGGTTTGTTGTTAGAACTGATAGAGGGCTTGGATGTACCTACAATGTGTTGAGATATCAGGAGTTAGGTAATATGAAGGAAAACGTCATAGGTGGCTAATTTACAATTTATATAATGACATTGACCCTGATGAAGGTCATTTAAGTTTACCAACTAGTGAATTGGCTTATTATACACGGAACAGGGCAACTAAAAACAAGGGGTCTGACTCATTTGACTCACCTAGTAAAAGTTGCACAAAGTCGTCAGTGTGAATCTGTAAGAGCTCTTAACACTGATTTACGTGTCATGCAACATTTCTGAAGACTGCTGGTGTCACTGTATTGCACATAATATGCCTTTTTAAACCGTGGATAAGTCTATTAAACTGAAGTCTTTTTTAAAATTTCTCGAAAGAGACTCAGGGTATAGGCAACATACCATATTGTGGGATTCGGTTTCCCCTTCTGCAGAACTTTTGTATGATGACTCAGCAACTATAAGATTCCCTGATTCAGGATCGGTATGCGCCAAATTGTCATACATGCCAGCAACCAGTGCAGCCTTTACTACTGCCCAATTTTCCGAGTATGTATTCAGGTCACGGATGTCCCCGCTCCCTCGTGCTTTCACGAAGCCCGAGGCTCGCAACTGACCTAGCAGTTGGGTTCTGCGAAACCAAAGCATAATGCGAAACATTAGGCAGGCAGTCCACAAGGATGACAGTGAACACCTTGTGGATGATCGAGGATACCCACTAATTATGTGGTTTTATTACCTATTTGATCGATTAAACATTAATATTCTATCTATAGGGATTTTTAAGGCTACAAAACCTGCATAATAAATACGTAAATCAAAATTCTGAATGGAGGATGAAACCGAGGAAAAGGTGTCTGTTGGACAATTGATGTTTGATGATTTTGACGGTATACAATCTTAAAGATACTTCAAACGCAGTTATTTCGATATATCGTACTGTCCCACGAGCCTGAATACGCCAGCACTAGTTTATAAACCATAAATCAGTGATTCCGGTCTTTACGGTGGTTTAAAGTTTGTTAAATTAATTTGATTTGACACGGATCTTGTGATGACTAAAAATGGAGCTGAATCCAAGTAAAAAACTGAAATTCATCAACGAACCTTGAAAGACTACGCTTTACGGAGCAACGGTGTTTGAAATAAATGAACAGATTTGAACGATAGGGAAAGTGGGTTTCCCATCAGGCACATTCGTGATGTTAATCAATTGCCACTTCAAAAAATTCGGGGCTGTTTACCCGCGGTTATAAGCGGCGCCCAGTCATGGGATCGCAGATTTTCGTACATTGGAGCGGGCTTGCAAACTGTGAGATATACTTCGCTACACGAAGGGCTGTTACGTGCTATTAACTAGCAGAGTCGCAAGGCAGACAACACCTGGGTGACCGTAGTTATTCACGTGAAAACCGCATCTTCGCTTCAAGTAGCTAATATTGTCAGCGCAGTAAGATTTTGCGGGAATTAGTCGCGATGTTTTAAGTCCTAAGGGATCCATGTTGAAGAAAAAATATTGTGCAAAGATCGATGGACTGACAACTGTTTTCTTCAAAAATATTCAAGGCTAGTTAGTCGAAACGATGTTTTATCGTATGAAAACGCATCTCAAAGGCTCCTAATCCTTTCATTAAAATCACAATATTTTGTTGGAACTCCTACCCCGCACGCCACATTCATCAGATGTTGCTCTGTCGGATTGTGTAAAATTGAATTTGTCTTTGTTAAATGTTTCACTTAGAAATTTAACTACTGCTGCAGATAAAACCACCAGTTATGATTGATTTCAGTGGTATTATGCCAAGCACATTCGGCATTAACATCTATGGTTACAAAGGCCAGAGAATCAGCCTTAAAAACTACACCGCAGTTGAATAAATATGCCAGTAAGACACCTTCAATGACTCCTACTGTGTCTGATGTGGATACATTCAAAACCACACAAATGAGGGCGGCCTTCAGTCCTGCCAAGTGGGTGAAACAGGTTAAGGTTCTTCGGACTCACTTTGTCATTGCCTGTTATTTAAGACATTTGCCATTTTGCATTTATGGATTTTATTTTTTGTTCGACAAAATATTGGCTGTTGTGGTTTCCCACACGATCTTCTTCATCATGTTTAAATAACGGTATTCCTGCAGGTCATTGGTGCGCGAGAAATTCGATGTTATACAAAACTAACCTTACTGTAGTGACAATGTCGAAAACAGCAGCCGAAATGTAATTCTTCCGGCAGAAACTTTGTTCCCAACCTTCAAATCTAGCTTTTTGCCAAAACTAGAAAAAAAATTTTTTAATACACTGGAATGCTTGGATGGCCAACATAACGAAGAAAGAAATATGGTCCTGTGTAATTATAAAAATGTCTGCCAACGTACCTGGAAAGCCCGTAGCAAAACCATATGGTCACTAAGTGAGTCTGCAGAAAATTTTTTTCTTGCTACTTGGGCCTCTTTCCGCTCCTTGGCGGTAGTTGGAATTCTAACTACAAAGATTTCATTCGTATGGACATTATCTTCATATGATTCATCACAAGACAGCTAGTGTCATAGGTTTTTCTCATTAAAAACTTAGGGTAAGAGCGTCTAAAGGGTTTGAATTTGCAATTTATGGTGATGATAAAAGCGACGGTCATGGAGACATTATTCCAGTTAAAAATTAGTGTTAATAATATCGAATAATAAGGATTGTGTTTTTGATCTACCTTATAAGTATTTTGTTTCAAATAAAATACTGGTTTTATGTAGATGAGACATATAAATCTAAGCGATATCAACATCATAGATTAAATATTAACGACTTCGCACACAAGTACGGTTACGTGGGGATGCTATTACCTAGTCTAGAATTTTCTCTTTAGAAGAAATTAGCATCAAACAGGGCCGAATAAACGCACAGGCTACAATCGCAGGACCCAAAGAAAGTTAGACCAGAGCATCGGAGTTGTTTTAACGTGTACAGCAAAACTGTGAGCACACCAGGTGAGACGCATCAATCTCAGCCATCCCATTTCCAGAAAGGCTAAATGTGTCACGACCATAATTTTTGAGTTAAGTAACTTAAGTGTATCACCTGGTAGATGACAATCGAGCAAAATTGTAGCGAAAATAGTAAACTACAGTATACAGTGTAAATTGCTAGGAGTCAAGCATAAAAAACATCAACTTACATGGGTTTTCGCATGCCAGAATGCATGCGATTGTCAGAACAGGATCAACGCACTTTAATGCAATGCTTACTAGCACCATTTTTGAATATCGTGGAGGGAGTGGCAGGGCACATATATGCGAACCTAGCTCTGTTAAATAACCGGATTCGTCCACTGCATCAATAACCTTTAAAAGTGGTGAAACAGCCATCAATGGGGCTGCACAGTTACCAATACATATGTCACCGACCACCTACATTCAAACCTCTGATGCTTTGTTCCAGTGCAAGAGGGTTGGGTAAGCGTGGGAGTGATTTAAAGCAGAATCCTATATCTTCTCCTGGTGGGGTGAGTAATTTTGCTTGAAGGCAGATTTCCTGGTACAGAAAAAATAACGAGGATATTTCAAAGTCTTGAATTATAAGCATAGGCACAACTTAAATGTATCAGAAGCTTTTTATTATTAAATAAAACGTTAGGTAAGTAAAAAGATACATATATTTTAGATGATCATCTAGAAAGTTCAAATATTGGCGAGGACAGATCATGGGTTTCCAATAGGTGCTTATGTATACATAAACATAAAAATAAATGCTTAGGTAGGAGAGAAAATCCGCTAATTAATGACAATTCCAAGTGCAATACAGAATGTATTACGAACTATAAATCATAGTTGATAGAAAGAAATTCTACACGAATTGTTAAACAGAAATCACGGGAATGTGTTTCATTAGGAATTTTAAAGTGGTGACAATTTCTACAAGCCCCCTTGCTAAATAATGCCTGAAAAATCTTGCAGGGTTCAAATCCTCCCAATTAGTTCATTGAATGTCGAGCCACTAATCAAAGCATTAATTTTATTTACCTCTGTATTAATAGAATTTAACTTGAACTATTTTTAACTTTGAATATAAACTTAAATGATAGTGTCAATGTTAAATTTTTACTTGAGTAACAGTGTGGCCACGTTACATATTCTGATTACACGTATTCCACGAAGTTAGGCCCTAACACCAGGACGATAGTTCCGTCAAACTGGCTAGCTGCGCAGTGATGAATATTTAATAATGTAGTAGAAGCTGCTTGGAATTTAAATAATTACGATAAAACAAAAACCATATTTCTAAATAAAGTGTCTAATTGCAAAGTAGTGTATTTTTAAAAAGTCGTTACCTCCATTGCATCACATGTGGACTGAGAGTTCGTTTCATTGAAAACCATTTCAAAGGAAGCCAGTCGCATTCTACTATAAAGATGAAAACACTTCGGCTCCTGCCTTGCTTGTGCACTGAAATGTTGATGCATGTGAACTGGAGAAGTCCATCAGGAATAAAGTAAAATTATAGCAATTCTTGTATGTAATATCGGTACTGGGTAGTCTAGACACTTACGTGTACTGTCGTTGAATTGCACTATTACAGCTGATCCATCGGTTCTGGTTTACAAGCGAACTACTACTAGAACCACCTTCTCGCTAAAAAAGTGCGCTTAAAAATCGATTCTTTTACTTTCATAATAAGGCCTGTGTCAATAACGTAGGCGATATCACCAATGGTGACAATGTTCTCAGCAATGTCTGTCGTTAAAACCTTGAAATAACTTGTAACAACAGAACACTGAGCTTACTATTTTGCGAATACCAGGTGGTGGTTGCAGAAATGTTTGCTTTAAATCCGCAACAAGCATTTGGAAATGAAGAACAAAGACCCACCATCGCCTTAAGTGGACAAAATTGAAGCGTATTTTAATCGAAAAACCTGCCCACGGATTGTTCAAAAAACCTTACCTGTTTAAACCTTGAGTCATAGAAGAAGTGGACAAATGCTCCTTTAGTGTGACGATCGCTTCGTAAGACGGTAAAAATACGAGGATCCCACCTAAAGTCATGTAGGTTAAAGAAATAAATACCCCCACCTGGCTCCAAAACAGCGTCCATTTTAAAAATAAGTTGTGAAAGCAGCTCAAAATCAATCGTCGAGCCAGCGCCAGTCCAATTGCGAGCAACCTGGTACAGTCGGTTCTTTGCTAACCCGCCAAGGTAATTTTCCTTCCAGACCTCATAATTTTGCTCTAGTGTTGAGTTCCTCGTCGGCTGTAACAGGCTTGGCATTTGGATCATTGGGTTTGCGAACCATGAGCCAAAGCGCAACAAATTGCCTTCCCAGTCATCAAGTGAATTATCGAGACTGCGTGTGGCCCTAGAAAGTTAAGAGTTAGTATATTTGATCCGACTTAATTTCAAAATCAAGCCGAATAAATCATTCAGTCGGAGGTTCCACAGTATGAATCTTTAGAATGCCGGGTCTATGAGCAAGAACGCATGAATCGAATTAAATTACGGGATTAATCACAAGATAAACCACTCCTACAACAGATAATCGAATAACCTCCTGATGCATCAAAATAATAAGAATTTTTGGATTGAGGGATTTGTAAAACTGTTAAGATATAAGGACGATTAGTCAGCTTGACCCTCATAATGCAGAAATTTAAGGTAGTCAAGTTTCTGTTATACGGTTTTTGTGTAGAAGCTAGCTCAAATAGGTGCCGTCGACAAGTTACTTCGATGCATCAAGTAAGGACCATTGACGTAATTTTACAGATAAACTTGATAAAGCTGATGGGTTTTGACTAGATAAAACAGCTTGCACAAGCTTGTAGGTACAAATGACACTATTGACAAGTTGTCTGGATCTAAATGTGAACCGCCCTAACGTTGTGTTGACTGATGACCTAAATTACAACCCTATCAATTCTGAAGTCAACAGGCCATCAGGACAGACGGCTAACTTCGCAACTAGTAAATACGTGGATGGCTAAATTTTCAAGACTCGGTACTGTAACATAGTTACTGGAGATTATTAAAGTTAATTAGCAGCGAGATACGCACAAGGCAACATTTGCAGTTCCTTCACACAAACCCATATCCGTCTATCATTCGTGTTAAGTAACAGGATCCAGGAGTGAACCATAAGGCTTGGATGAAATTATAAGTTACAAAATCAATTGCTTCAAGTGTATGGCTCTATGGTTTAACATTTATTGATTTTACAAAGCAAATTGGTAAAATGGCGGTCAATGAGATAATGGCAATGAAGGTTGTAAAAGTCAATCCCGACTTTGCTTGCTTACATGTATGACTTAAGGAGGTCAGCGACATGTGCGTGGCCATAGAGACGAGCCAGATCAAAAGCGTTTGCGCCAACCATTGGGACAGACTGCGTGGGGGCAGCCAAGTCCGTGCCAATGGTAACCAATGCTGAGGGAAGCGCTGCTCTGGGAAGTGGAACTCGGTCAAAAACATCCGCACCAAAGTTAAGCAAGCGTTCTACTACTTCAATTTGACCCGCGGCCGAAAACAACATTAAAGGGGTTATTCCTACAGAGAAAAAGTAGTTGATTTGGGATGAAGGTGGTAGGCAAATGATTCTCTTAGCGGTCTGCGTTAGCGAAAAGCTTAAATCCGATATATTTGGTTTTGGCTCTGTTTCCAGCCAAAAATTGAATTAAAACATAAACTAGTTGTTCAAAGACGCCATTGACACTTAATGTCCAAATGAAAGAAAAGACCAACATTTGAAACTACTTCCAGAAATTTGTTTACAGAGAAACGCATGCTTTTATCTTCTCGACACGTCGCAAAGAGGGCTAATCATGAATACGATCGGCATGATAAATAATCTTTCATTCAAACCCACAATATCGTGTATGGGACCTAATCACGAGGTCTCAGAACAAATTTAAATGCTGCTGTTTGCTAATGCTTGAAATAAACAAGGGACAAAGCCATACAGACCAACATAATTTGTGTCAGCCTTCCTTGACATAAAAAAGCTCTGCGTTACTTAAACTGGTTAGAAGACAAAAACTGATTGTAATAACTTTATGGTTTGTGGCTTTCGCTTCTAGGGGTGTTAACACGAGAAAAAAGGCAGTTGCCTACATACCGATGCCTTTTTATACCTAGCCCTGTGTATTAACCGAACGCAGGCGAACCAGACCACTTTTTAGTGCTCGAACAAAATGAAAAATGTTTTATTTAATAATTCCTTCACTTAAATGCATTTAATCGACCACAATTTTATTCACCTTACTCTTTCAGAGCCCGTTTTTTTGCGCGCAAATCTCATTCACAAAATCATTTTATCATGGTTAATGCTTTGCATTTGAGAAAATTCACAATGACTGGAACGTTTCGTAATTTATTGAGAATAAAATAAAACAGATTAACACTTCTCTCAGTTGTTACTTGTTTTAGTACCATATGATCATCGTAGTTTATGGACTACAAGTATGACTGAATAGTTCGTGTAGTGAAGAATCGGTCACAAAACGAAAAAAATTACGTTTTGAGTTAAAAAAAACATTAAAAAGCGCCGGAAATAAAACCTCTGATGCGTATACCCAAAGTTTATAAGATTTGCATACCCGTTTCAGAATGCCGGTAGTCCACGGGAATCCATTCAACAGAAATCGATTGAAGTAAGTCAGAAATGAGTGGCTTTGCATCAATATCGGGAGAAGTGTCCTAAGGTGAAACGTATGCAATGAATGAGGCAACACAATGAATTGAGCAATCAAAAAGTATTTTGTTCGTAAAAGCTTGTCAGAACACATTTATCCGAAGGTGATTCATTTTTTTTATTACCCCTTCACCAACTATTCCTTTGTTCACGCACGACTAATTTTAACTTGTCAAGCTAGTTTTCTGGGAATGCGCATGCTCAGACGGCACAATGCTTAAAAAGGTAAGTGATCGTGTCTGCCTCGGCGTGTCTTTTTTATCATCACCTAGCTGTCGATAGGGAGACTCAATATTTTGACGACGTCAGTTTGCAGACATGCGACATTTACCATGTTATTCTGCCCTGTTATTTTACTGTTTGGATTCACCTTCTAGAATTTGTAGACGTACTTGGCTTCACGTTAATTCAGTTTGTTTCATTTTTCAAATTCATTTCCTGTGAACAGATGTTATTATGTTTTGTTTGTTCTTGGGATAACAAATGCATGTTTTCATGGGGATCCAAGCTTTTTCGATATTCTCAAGCAATCGGCCTGAGTTCCTGTCTTATCATGGTCACCAAAGTGCAGTAAACAAGCAGTGTATGCGAACATAAGGTGTCGGTTTAACACTTGGGTCACTTAAGCAGTAGCGTCCTCAAAATAGAATATTTTAAAGGGTTAAGTAAATTACCTCGTACATCTTTTGGTAAGTCTTCCGCAAGACGAGATTCTCCCACAGGGTCCAAATGAGGTTTTCGATGTTTCGATAAATGGTTGAGCTAGATGTTTCAGCAGAGTCCTAAATCAAATGGCTGGTTAACTTTACGAAATGAACAATAATGGGCTCCAAGTGTCAAGTCTTAACCTACCATAATCTGATCATTTTCATATGAAGACAAATCGTGAAAGCCATTCCCCCTTAAAGGACAGTCGGACGTACCCGTTAGCCAAAAGTACATTTTGAGCACCCTAGAAGCATCTGTTTTATGAAGAGAAAGTGGGTTTTTGATCAGTCGGAACATTGTCTGGTAAATACTCAATAATCATGTACCTCTTCTGATTATACGTTTCGCGGAATCCATTTCCGGTGTGTTAAAATCCAACCACTGAAGGATATCTTCCAGGAAGTAAATCTCACTAGATTTTTGCTCTGCTTTCACTGGAATGAAAACAGAGGTAACCCAAACTAGACGTATTAGGAATAAGAACGCAGAATTCCAAAATAATATTCATGTGAGATTGGCTCGAATTAGCACAACTCAAAGGGGCCTTATATAATTAAATATCGTGTTAATCAAATGCCATAAGTAACCTGCCCCTGATATGATATTTGGCATACCATAATCTTAAAATTGGTTGCTTTCTTTTTGAAATTTATTTTCTCTAAAATGGATTAGAAAAAAAACTATTCTGTTTCTGGAAGTAGTTGCTTCAGCCAAGAATTTAATTATGTACTTTATCATCACACACACAAACTACAGCCTCATTCAGGATCTGCGCAGTGTTGTGGTAACTTGCACTTAACTTAGCTATCAAAATTTATATGGGGAAGAGATGAACATCAAAATGAAAACTCCTTCTTTTGCATGTTCATAGGCTACAATTTCAGGCACAGTATGGCAAATTACGCATTGGAGGAAGAGGATGTGGAGAATGTGAACAACTCGTCATTAGGTCAGTTTGCAACCATCTAATGTAAACATCTATCACAGTTCACTCGGTACTCAAAAGAAGACGCATAAAAAAGGTAAGTTCAAGTAGGAGTCAAACATCAAAAGGTATTATTTCAAAATTACGAACTAGAAACGTTATAATTTACTTTGCAAGCAGTATATTTGATCAGTTCACCTTTAAACAGTGCTTGCTGGATCACCGTGGCTGTTTAGGAAAACAAAAGCTAATTCTCTCTTTCATTTATTGTCGGAAAGATCCAAGTAATGTCATTTGACAGGTGCACACGTTCAAGCATGGTGAACGTTATATAATTTAAAGAACCACGAAGTGTGATGAGCTACCAATTTTTAAGATGGGCTTTGTGACCTTAATCAGTAGGGGGATGCAGCCACAAAAAAATTTTCAAGCCCCAATTGATTTACCCCGTCCTTCGCATTTGTGGATACTCCAAGATAAATTCAAAGCAAAATAGGCAAATTCAAACTAAAATGAAATGTGTATGAACAAGTCCAATAGTGTGAACGTCGACAACATTGTCTTTTTTAAAATTCCGGGATGCAGATCAGATCTAGGCACGAATGACTTTTCAGGATCTCGAAGACAAAATTCACCCACACTCAAAGCATCTCTTCTGAAAAGTTAACTTTTTTAAGCACGATAAAACATAGGGGAGTGCACGTGGAATCCGAATTACCTATATTGAAAGTTCAAGCACACTGTGGAAAGAAGTTGAAAATCGAAAAGTTATAAGAACTAGCTTCTTGCGAATGACTCGGATTAGAATTCGGCAAAGTAACAGAATTTGGCCGGTCAATAGATGACGACTTACGTGAATAATTATTTATTTAATTGTATCTTAATTTAACTAACACAAACGTTTCCTGTTTATATTAAAATTTAGGGATTGTTTTTTTGGTGGGCATAATTTATGGATTCACTAATTGTGGTCCAGGCTCTAATTGGTGGAGCGATAGACCTAAACCACTTTAATTAAACAAAATAGAGACCTACCATAAAGTAATTCAGTATTTTTGAACTGAGGCGCAATTAGGAAATGGCTGGTTAAAAATGTGTTCTCTGTGGATTTTTCGAGGAAGAGAGGCATCTTTATTTGCAAAAGGGGTTCGTCAGCAGAGATGGCTGAGTGCTCTCCGCCAAAATCCTGTTCATGTTAATATAACATATTAGTTAAGCTCGAATTAAGGTCAAATAAGAAGTATGAGTTTGGACTCACTTCTAAGTGTGTTGACCACTGAAGATTACGCCCACCTGAAAGAATTGACGAAGTTGCTTTTAAATTGACGATTAGGACAAGCTTGAGGTGAGGGTACTGAGGTAAAATTCGGTGAAGGGTTCCGAGCAAAAGGTTGCAGGTATGTTTACTTGGGTCCGTTGAAATAGGAAGCGGGATCTCTCGGCCCTCCAAGGTGAGTTGACGAGAAAATAAGTCTTCTTCGTCTAATTCATCCACAATAATATGTGTAGTAGCATTCAAAAGAGTAGGGTCAGCGTAGATTGTACGTAGTAACACGCCATGTGTGCAAAAGGTTAGTACCGTTTTTGGGGAGACCCTGTAATAGGAAAAGAAACACACTACTGCTAAGTTAAAAGTTATTCTGTGATAAAATTTAAAGAATACCAAGGCATTTCCAGTTTGTTTCTGCTTCCTTCTCTAAAAACTAATTTCAAATTAATTAATTAATTAAAGAAGATCATAACCAGAATTTAAACAAGGACATGTGTATTGATGTAGGATTCATTCTCGAGTTCTGCGTAAAAATCCCAAAAGCCATTCATATGAAAGTAATTTGGATAGTAGAGCATAAATACAGAAATTTCGCTTCCATCACACAAGAGCAGGAAGACGGTAGTTCAGAGTCACAAAGTAAATTATAAAATCTAAACAGAATAATTAAAAACTGTGATAAGATCTTTGAAACTGGGACAAAGAGACTCTACTTTCATAATGTTCTGTTAGGTCATGAGGATAGCATACAGTGAAAAATCAGAAGCTTATAACTACTGGAATTCATTTAAATTATCTAAAATTCAGCATGGTGATTTCAGTAAGTCATTGTCGCCATGTTCTTTTCGTTGCCTCCGACAAATCGATAAAAAAACATAAATGCAGTCAACAGTCTAAAAAAAGAGGCTGCCAATAACCGGATATACTCTATTTTAAAATATTATACAAGCACTCATGCCTCAGAAGGCAAACTCACTTTGACTCTAATCGAATTTGGTAGCCAACCGATTGACCAACTATCTCACCTCTCTCGTATGCAACACGATCAGCGTTTGCGTGAGCAGACAAGCGTCTGGGTTGGGTACAAATAGCCCGACAACGTTGAGAACGTGAATAGCAGTCTTCAAGTAGTATCTGAGTGAGATTCAAAGAAGCCAAATTTTAGTCAGTTGCTGTTATTTGTCAAGTTAACCAATTATAGTGAAACAGATAATAATAACTGTATGTAAGTATACAAATTAGGAATAATATTTTGGCTAAATGTCGAGTATTCATTTTCTAAACTCGTTAGGTACGAGATAGAGGCTTGTAAAAAAATATTACTTATAACATTAGTTCAAAGTAGCTCTAAGTTTCAAAAGAACTGAAATAGATTTGAAAAATAGTTTGCGATTGTGATACAACAAAGCCACAAGGATTTTCGCCATTCTTTTTTTCAGGCACTTACAATTCAAAGACGCACGTCTATTATAGTGTTTCCAGAATACGCGCCTTTACATCTTATTGCATATCTTCCTGGATGTTTCAACCAAAACATCAAGGGTTAGTAGCACAAAACAAATCATCAGACAAATGAAAAATTGCGTTGATTTAAACCGGTTATCAGGGTAGCGTAATCGGGCCAGGGCAAACTCAATGGTACTGGCGTGATTCAAGACTACATAGCGGGGCCAATAACGTAATCAAAGAAAACAACTTTGACGTTGCTATCCCCATTTGCATTATCACAAAAATCAAAATATTCTTACTTGTGGTACTTGAGTAGATTTTCCGCATCCTCGGGGACCGGCAATAATTGAAATTCGGTTATCATTAATGATCTTGGTAACTTTCAACTGTTCCATTCGGATCGGTATTACGTGAGTACCGCCCCACACAAAAGGATTGTGTAGGGATCGTGATTTTTCTTGAATTGCTTTAACTGGAGCACTTGGAACTTGAGGTACAGCGCCTATTAGGCGTCCCGTTGTACACTTCTGTCGCTCTTCCCGTGAACCTTACAAACAAAAGGTAAAGTATTTGGTTTAGAATAGCAGATGGTAAAAGTTAAAAAATTGGTCTGTGTTAGAAAGAAAATCGAAATTTTGAGTCTAGGTTGTAAAGACTGTTTAACACTCGGCCTAGAGCCTAAGCGGTGTGATATTTTTAGGTCATAGCTCTCCAAATATTGATATTTAACAACTTTGTGCTAAGGCCTCCAATATCTGGTTATGATAAAATTTCAGCCTTCACTTAGAGAAACCTCGGTTTTGTACAGTAATGAAATCTGAGAAATCGCTGAGTTATTACGAACTGCACGCTAGAGTACGCATTTACCTATGTTATATAAAGTTAATCTAAACCAGTGACAATATAACCGCACATTTGCGATTTTACCTATGTGAAAATAGGCCAACTATAGTATGAAGTGAATTCAAAAAGGGCATTATAGTTTAACAATATAATGTTCTTATAGCAGTTACCAAGTTCACAGGTTCTGTCGTAGATAGGTGTCAAAACCTCAAGCTCTTTAATTAATACTGGGTTTGTTTGCAGCAAAGTTTTGATCGAATTTCGGCTACTTCGTGACAAAGGAAGCTGAGCATGTCTTCCAAGACCTTGTGGGAACGAGACCTCAAGAGCGATTTGACGATTTTCGTCACTCCTTGAGTAAAAAAATTACAAAATAAGCTGGAGTCCAAACATTCTTCATTACTGTAGTATTGATTATGTGCTAAACATTGGAGGTTGAAAAAATACTGCACCCAAACGACGTCGTATTTACTACTTGTGGTATTTGTCACTTACAACAGCAAACAGATAAGAAATTTTTTAATTATCTCTAAGACAGAAATATCAAGGTGTGCATTAAAAAATACTACAGGAATCGGATTTTAATGGGTCCAGTTGTTAGATTTGAATTGTTAAAAGTAAAAGTAAACGTCTTTTGTAAGTAATATTGCATACCAAGTATTTTTAAATTAAAAAAAGCAAAAAAAACAATGCAATGTACTCAGGCACAGCCGAATGCTATCAAATAACTGTCAATATTAGGATGACCAAGTAGTTAACACGATCTTACTGACAGAGAACCTTACCCCAACCTTGCCATTTGTGACTCATGGTACGTTGTAATAAATTGAAATAATGCACGATCAACTTCAGGCGATTTAGGTGAAAAACACAGATTTTCTTGATTATTATTACCAGTCACGTCATCATTCATTGGATCGATTGTTATCGACAATGAATCCATTGTTTCGTCTGTGTTAGAATAGGAGGAAAGCACAAATGGCCTGTCAGCTAACAAAGCAGACTTGCAGGATAAAACATCATACAATTTCCAACCACTTCGACGCGATAACGCGATATCGAGCAAGCGCAGCCTAACCAATATTTCGACCAGATAAACAATCAATTAAGTGATGACACCTAAACATAATAGACTACCACACAATGTATCGTACGGATAGCCCATTTGTATTTGGTTTTTCTAAATGGTTTTGTCTTCTAAGATCCCACTTTGTGAATCCAATTATATGCATAAACTATTAATCGTTGTTTATTTCTGATAATCAACCTAAAGATTATAGCTATGCATAATTTAAAGGAAACACATTAATGATTTAGCCTTTTCGTGGACCGAAAAAAAAAATTTTTTACACTAGGCATCTAGTCAGCTTAGAAAAACCTGCACATGTTGGTAAATAATTTTGCATTTGCCGTTGACATTGGTACTGAATACGTACATTTTAATGTTAAATTTTCAGTATCAATACTTGGATAAGTACCTTGTGCGGCCATTCCAAATTTTCCGATTTAGGGCTTTTAAATCGAAATGCAGTAAATGATATAAGAAAATCCACCAACATGAAGTTAACCACTAGTGCTTGCTTTTTAACTCTGACCCGTAATGACGAGACATTACAAGCAATTTTTCTTCAACATGACGTCGTTACATCTTCTATACAAAATATCAAAGATATAATTGACCCTTTTTCATTTATATTTTGCGACTGACAAATTCCTATTCGTTCTAGATCGGCTGCCGTCAATGTTTTTTATATTTAACTGGGTGCCTTTAATGTCTGTTCCAAGTCTCCATAGCTAATAAACATCCTTTTCTTTTCTAATGCCCAAAAAATTCACACCCGTTTACAACTTTTCAGGTTCTAAAAGTTTAGCTGACTTGAAGACCTCCTAGTTAATTTTCCTTAACACCTTTAATTTGGTTCATGTCAAAGATACAGTTTTTTAAGATGCCTGGTCAAGTATCAAATCTAAGAAAGCCCACAGGTTATAGAATCCCTTTCTGTCTGTCATGCACCAATTCGCATCTCATAATCCAAAGCGCATGATCTGTTTTAACTACTCGTCAATTAAAAAGGCAAAAAATAATTCCCGAAACATTGCTGGACCTTCTGTACACATTTCACGAAGGCATTGTTGTGACTCGTGTTTATCCACACTCCTTAATCCGGTCGCTCCATCCTCCGACACAAGGTTCCCCTTTCCACAGCATGTCGCCAGCAGCGCGGATCCTCAACTACCCATTCATTCGCACGAATATTTATCTTGAATTGTCCTTACACCCAGGTCTCGATGTTAGCGCATGTATGGCTCACATCTGAGGTACAAATACACACGCGCAAATCCCACACACGACACAACTACATCAACGTGGTTGAGCTTCGAAGTAAACAGTCGCGTCCATGTCCTCTCCGGTCTTTTTCTTCGCGGGTATTAGGGAAGCGTAATCGGGCCAGGGTTAATTCAATGACCCCGGCATGGTCTAAGGCCACATGCCGGGGTCCACAACAGCATCTACATTGGGCAGACCGGCTTTTCTCAATTTCACGGCATTTTTATGGCGCACAAGACGTGACCTTAAAATAAGTTCTAAATTCAGTTTACATCTTGATCTAGTTTTAGATATTTCTCGCATTAGAAGAAATGATGTCACCCGTTACGCAACCATGAAAACCATCGCGTAATGGAATGAACACAACAAGGACCATGTCAGTATGGGATATTATGGCTCCTGTCGAACTTGTGGTAGCAATCCCTGACAACCAAGCACGGATATTGCATGGTCTCGTCCACAATATTGAGTTTGGTTACATTAAAGATAATTTTGACAATCAAATGCACTTCGCGGGTGCAGTGCAGACATTTTGTTTTAAAACCTAAATTTTTAAGAATAAATTCGATGGAACAAACAAACGACCACCGTATGTCGAAGACGAACTTCCCACTTTGTGACCAATTCACACTAGTCTCGTAACCACAATATTTAGTAGTACTTTCCGTTGCTTTAGCACACAGCGTAACATCTACCCTGGTAACAAGACATCGCCTGGTGTTTACTGTTCTCTCTCTGAGTGAACACATGACCCTAATTCAGCAAGCCCCACAATTATATGAATTCTCTCATCATACATATTGTTAATTGTTTACCTCAACACGCACAATCCCGAACTGTTGTTTTGTTCAGGACATACACCTCAGAACTGGAATCAAGCTATTGTAGAAAGGTATAGTTCACGGAAGCACACTTTGAGACCGGTAAAAGTGAAGTATATCAACAAACGTTTAAATGCATATTTAATATGATGGATTTCTTTAAAAGATAATGCAATGCGGGCAGCTGCCGTTTGCAAAAATGCAGCGTTGTTAAAGGAATTTGTAGTTCTTCGTGTTCTCATATATTAATTCAAGATATCTATGATTTTGTAATCAGCCCAATAACACTGAGTGAGACAATTATATAACAAGAACAGTGGTTCCAAACAAACACTATGTACATAGGAACCAATCACGAAATTTATTAATTCGATTCATCTTCATCGCTAATTCTAGCTTTCTTTCGCCGGGGTGTATCGGAGAGCTAAAAGAAAACAAGGCGCTAGGATAGAGGCAGGATTGATTAGTAAAGGCGCGTAAATATGTTACAAAATAAGTTGACATAAAAAATACTGCATCAAAATATTTGTCCTTATACACATTAAGTTTAAAAAACAAGGGTGGAAATAGAGGCAATAGTGCTTGCTACTAAACATTATCCATGAAATCTTTTTTTCAGAATGTAGAACCAAATAAAAGAGATTAATAAGTGAAGGTGATTTGAGGATTCGATTGGTGAATTGGGGAAATTAGATACACAGCCAAGTTAAAATCAGCTGGTAATTAACGAGGGTGAAAACGCTGAAAACTGTCAAACTCTTAACTTACGTCACTCACTGAGGCGTCATCGGAGTCCGAAACAGACCGTCCTGACAAATAGAGAGATCATTTTAAAATCACGGATAAAGGCATTAGATGAGACACAATTCAACTAACCCAAAAGGGAACATGCCACCTCATGATGGAGTTTACGATAAAAAACGTCAGGTAGTATTAAGTGCTTAATTTAGACGAGCGGTGCAAATACTAAGCAATCGAATGACAGTATCAGTCCACAAAAATTTTGATGACCACAAAAAAACATGTTTATAAAATGACGCCAATCGAAAATCGACTTGAATAATTTAATGGATTGTTAATTCACAGAACCCGTCTTAATTAGTCACTTTTGACTAAACGTTCTTATTCTAAAGTACGTTAGGAAAAATACAGGCCCTCATATTCACATAAATATGCTATATATATTTTGTCTACGAAAACACAACTTTATCAACAGAAATTAGGTTCTTGATGATTACCTTAACCGATTGTCAGCATAGTTATACTTTCTTGGATCCAATGACAACTCAATTACCAAGACAACAAGTCTTGGGGCATAGTTAATCATAGCAGCTCCAACGGAGAGACCTCGATAACTTGCTAATGATTTAAGCTGCCAATCTTCTTTCCCAACGATGCGAATGGTGCTATTCTAGCACACTTTGTTTGCGTGTGTGTGTGTGCGTGTATTATTTGTGTGAGTTGGTACCTATAAACCAGATATTATGTTTAGAATAGTAATGGGAATAATTTGCTTATAAGAAGCCTCCGACGAGCAAACCGATTCGTAAATTGTGTTTAGAATTGATAGTATGCACGCACCTACGAAAAAAGGCAACATCCTTGCAATAAATCCATAAATCAACCCAATAAACTTAAACAGTAGAACTCATGACGCAATCTTGTTTGCCAAAAGATAATGCTCGATCCAGTGATCAATTTTGAGGAATGAACGACGGAATGGTGGGAATGAAATGAACTTAGGTGACAAATTTCATGTCAGAGGTTGGAGGTAGGTCTATTCAGACTAAAACGCTCACGTAGGAAAGTAGCATCACACAACCACTTTAGGCCATTTGCATGTGAAAATACTTAAATGAATTTAGCTTTCAAAAAAACCGTCTAAATTTACGACAGAAAAAAAGTGCTCCGAAGGAGTTGAAAGAAGGAATAACAAACCTCGAGGTCTGCTTGAGGAGGCGATGCTCGCTTTAGCATTTCTTTTGATTGCACCCAAGGACACTGAAGTGCCTCCAAACTCCCCATCACTATCTCCAAGACTATCGTAGCCAGCGGCGCCTGAAAAACTTCCAGTGGAACGGCGATTACGATGTACTGAAGCTGCTGCTAATTGACGCTCTTGCATACGCCTCTGCTGACTCTCGCGGCGAAGGGTCATTCGAAGCCGTTCTTCCTCTTTCCGAATAGCAAGGATTCGATTTGATTCAGGGTCAGCTCCAGCAACCGGAAGAATTTTGACCTGAAACAAAACAAAGCCTGTCTTATGTCTAAACCTGAATTTAGAGGACAACTGCAACGTTGTTAGTGCAAATAGAATTAATGCACCACATATTTTGCTCAATAAACTTCGTAACAGGGGCGAGTTAGTTAAAGCTACGTTCTAACTTAACAGATCTAACATGGTGATTAAGGGAGATTTAATAAATGAATCTAATAAAAGCTGTCCATACTGCGTAAAAAGACCAATAGGCTCCTTCGAAGATTGCCAGAACTATAGTGACACGTGGTAAGTCCGTCGCAAGAGCCCTACCGTGTCCTAAGAGATGAACCAAAATAACTTGCTGAGTCCAGATTTCAGAAGCAGCACGCTAATTCAAGTGGGCAGGAAATAATTGTGCCCATCGTATAGAGAGCAGAAATGTTAGCATGTGGAGACCTATGATGGTTCAATGATGTTGGCTGAAAGGTACAGCATGCCTACCAAAAAAGCTAGAGTGCAGTCTGGAATAGACGCCGTTTTTAGATTTAGGGCTACCTTTTGTGACTTGCTTGTTTTGTCAGCTAGAGAGAGGGTCATCTTCCGATGAGTGAAGGAATCTGTTGAATGAGGTCTGAAGAACAAAATAAGGCACAAACGATTGATACGGTTAAATCCTATCATTTGCCAAAAATATCACCAATGTACCTGAAACTAAGCTTGGTACGAAAAATTGCTTGACCCTGAAGACCTCTGTCTTCTCGAATGAAAAGGTGGTTAAAATCAGACTGAATATCCATTTTGTGAACATCGAATATTTCATCTCCAAGATGCAATGACAGGGATCCATCGGACCAGCGAACGACCCGTGAATTGGACTCATGGATCACATCACCCCTGTCATTTTTGGCATAGCGCCACCGAATCGTATTTTCGACCTATAGACGAAATACTAAATACACGAAGGAAAAAATTCACTTTTAGTTTAAGCCGTGTACGACCTTCTTCGTCCAGCACTTCATCCTCATCCAGCTCACCCTCATAGAAATCTGGATCGAATGGGCGGGTTTCCACAGACAGGAAATTGGGCATCTTTACCAAGTGCATCTCTCTGTAGAAAAAATAATAACTAGGCGAAGTGGTGGTGAAAGTGGTGGAAAATACGGTAATTAAAAGCGGCACACACTTGCCCAGATCGGCGCGAATGAGAGGAAAATCTGCAGTGATGCGGATTTCATCAGGTTCCTCCTCTACAGGCTCTAGTTCATGGACAAGTACCTGTTCAGTGGCAATGGTGTCTTCGTTCTTGTGATCGCATGACCGTTGTTTTGAACCCAAAATAGATTCACCATCGGATGAAGCCAGGGACAGATTATCATGTTTCTCCCCTGTGGCGACATTATTTTCAGAATCTGAGTCCGACGATGAGGACCCCAAAATAGCTCGTGTACTTACGGCAGCCTCCGGGATGGCAACCGAGGGATCACTCTGACAAAAATTATATAAATCACAAAACCTACTATGGGAGGACTTGCGGATCGTTTCAGCGGAACAGCAGACTGCACTGATTTTTCGCTCTCTAAGCAGTAAAATCAGATATGCTGCACATACCGGTATCACTTCCAAATATGTCGTGATGATCGACGGGTGAATTTGAAGAGTCTGAATCGCCGCTGGAATTATTACCTAAAGTTGTTTCTCGTTTAATAAGTTGTGAAGGGTGACAATTACCCTGTATTTTCTCATCTGGGGAGTCCAGTAAGCTAGATTCCGCAGACGATACCTTGGACATTGTAAGACAACACTGTAATCCAAACAAACCATGATTAAAAAAACAAAACGCAAAAACAGACTAGGTTCCGAAAAGCAGTGGGAGAAACGCAGAAGTAATAAGAAATGTAAAATATGATTATCATGTAAGACGCAAACTTTTCGCTAAATGAAAAAAGTGGGCATGCACTCTCTAGAAGCAAAGAAATGAAAAAAAGTTAAAAAAAAGAAACTAAAATATTTCGGATTGCACGCTAATTAAAACATTAAAATTGAATTTAGAAAATAAATAAATCCCCAGCGGATTCACCAAATTAATGACGAAAGCAGAGTTCTTGTGCGGCTGTAGAAATTGTGGTGTGGTTTGGTGTGGTGTGGCGTCGGATTAGAGCGCAGACATGTTGGACCACCTGGCCGCAGCCAATCCCGTGTCCGTCTGCGATCCAATGGCATGCGGGAAAGAAAGGCAGCCAGCCAGATATGGACATGGATGAGATGCAGTATATAATGAGCGGCGTGGCCACCGTGGTGGACTCGGATGGAGGACGCCTGGCGCGTGGCTCTGGCTTCTGATTGGTCAATAAAGCCTGTTCTGTTGTGCCGGTCTTTTTCATATTAGGGCTCGGGTATTCTACAGTGGCGTCGGATTAGGGCGCAGACATGTTGGACCACCTGGCCGCAGCCAATCCTGTGTCTCTCTCTGTTCCAATAGCATGCGAGAAAGATAAGCAGCCAAAAAGAGAAGGACACGACTGAGGCGCAGTATAAAATGAGCGTCGAGGCAAGCGTGGTGGACTCGGATGGAAGGCGCCAGACGAGTGGCTCTTGCTTCTGATTGGTCGATAAAGTCTGTTCTGTTGTACAGGTATTTTTCCTATTAGGTCTCGGGTAATCTACAGTGGCGTCGGATCAGGGCGCAGACATGTCGGACCACCTTGCTGTAGCAAATTCTGTCTCTCTCTCTGTTTCAATAGCATGCGAGGAAGAGGAGCAGCCAACCAGAGAAGGACACGATCGAGGAGCAGTATATAATGAGCAGCATGGCCAGCGTGGCGGACTCGGATGGAAGGCGCCTGACGCGTTGCTCTGGCTTCTGATTGGTCAATAAAGCCTGTTCTGATGTACCTGTCTTTTTCCTATTAGGGCTCGGGTACACTACATTCGTGGCAGCGGACGCGTTCAAATAACGCGAATCGAACCGCAGCCCTTTATCTTCAATGGTCAACAGAGGCGAAGACCCTTGAATGCCAGTTCAAATTGTCATGGCGGTCATCCGATGTCCAATAAACTGGATCCATAGACGTTGCCCGGAATTAGGACTCCTGCCTCTGAAGAGGCATTGGCAGCTCAGCAACGGCGACTTGGACAGTGAAAGCCAGCTGGACTGCATCTGCGAATGGACCTTCGATGGATGATGAGTCCTTCCTGCAAGTCAAAAAGAGAAAAGTCCCTCGTCAAATATTCGCATTGGTCAAAAGCCTGCCAGATGTAGGGTGCGAAGCGTGTCGAACTGGATATATAATCAACATTGGATATAAACAACATTGCGGTGAAAAAAGCCAGAAGCTGACGATGGCTTCACTCTTTAGGGGGAGGCATTGTGGTGACGGATTATGGCGCAGACATATTTGATCAGGTGGCCTCAGCCAATCCTGTGCCTCTCTGCGTTCCAGTGGCATGCGAGGAAGATAAGCAGCCAACCAGGGAGACACCAATAAAGTGTAGTACGTAAGGAGTTGCGTAGCCAGCGTGGTGGATTTGGATGGAAGGCGCCTGGCGTGTGGATCCGGCCTATGATTGGTCAATAAAGCTTGTTCTGCTCTTATGGTCGTTTTTTCATTGGGCTCGGGTACTCTACAGGACTAAAAAAATTGGATTCAGATATTTGCACCTTGCTGGCCTCAGACAATCCTGTGTCCCTCTGCGTTCCAGTGGCTTTGGAGGAAGATATGCACCGAACCCGACAGACGCGAATGAAGAGTAGTATGAAAGGAGTGGCGTAGCCACCGTGGTGGATTTCGATGGATGGCGACTGAAGTGTGGCTCTGGCCTATGAATGGTCAATGCAGCGTGTTCTGTTGTACCAGTGTTCTGCGTATTAGGGCTCGGGTATTCTACATTGGCTGCAGCGGATGCGTTCGAATGACGCGAATTGAACCACAGCACTTTTTCTTAAATGCTCAACAGTGACAAAGACCCTTAAATGCCAGCTGAAAGTCGTGGCGGCCATCCGATGTCCCATTCACTGGATTCATAGTCATTGCCCGGGATTAGGACTACTACATCTAAAGAGGCATTGGCAACTCAGCGACGACGACATGGACAGTTGAAGCCAGCTAGACTGCAAATGGAAAAGAAACCAGCATTCTTGCAGGTCTACAATAGCAAGGTCCCTCGTCTACCATTTACTTAGGCCACTATCCTGTCAGATAGGGTATATCGAAGTGAGTAAAACCGGATATTTCGTTAATCATAAACAGCGCAGGGAACCAGGCTAGAAGCTGAGGACAGCTTCCCTTCTGAGTTGGAGGCAGTATAGCGGCGGATAAGCGCGCAGACATATTGGACTACGCTGGTCTCAGCCAATCCTCCGACTCTCTGCGATCAAATGGCAAGCGAGGACGATAGCAGCCAACCATCGAAATGCACGAATGAAAAGCATTATATAATGGGTGGCGTAGCCAGTGTGATGGTCTTGTATGGATGGCGATTTAAGTTCAATGATCGCACCGTGCAAATGGAAGATTATTTTGTTAATTTTAGCCAGAAATAAATTAATGGCCAAAATATGGTTGATTATTTCATAGCAATTTATGTTAAAGGGATGCCAAAAGCGTTTGAAAAAAATGAAGCCTCTGGCCTGTAAATTTTCTCCAGTTGGCGGTAGGAGGCTTTTGAGTTTGTGTCTGCGACATCTTGAATAGCCGAACCCCAGTATGATGAAGATTAATACTACAAGACACGCAGTATTAACCCTTCACTGATTAGCATTTTATGGAAAAAGCTGGGATTTAATAGGCGTGATTTGAACGCATCCGCTGCAGCCAATGTAGAATACCCGAGCGCAAATAGGCAAAACACTAGTACAACAGACCACGCTGCATTGACCACTCATAAGCCAGAGCCACATTTCAGGCGCCTTCCGTCCGTGTCTACCACGCTGGCCACGCCGCTCATTATATACTGCTCCTCAGTCGTGTCCTTCTCTGGTTGGCTGCTTATCTTTCTCGCATGCTATTGGAACAGAGAGAGACACAGGATTAGCTGAGGCCAGGTGGTCCAATATGTCTGCGCCCTGAACCGACGCCACTGTAGAATACCCGAGCCCTAATAGGTAAAAGTCTGGCGCAACAGAACAGGCTTTATTGACAAAGTAGAAGCCAGAGCCACGCGTCAGGCGCCTTCTATCCGGGTCCACCACGGTGGCCATGCCGCTAATTATATGCTGCATCTCATCCATGTCCTTCTCTGGTTGGCTGCCTCCCTTTTCCGCATGCCATTGGATCGCAGAGAGACACGGGATTGGCTGCGGCCAGGTGGTCCAACATGTCTGCGCCCTAATCCGACGCCACACTGCCCCCCCCTTAGGAGTGAAGCTGCCCTCAGCTTCCGGATTGGTTCGCCGCACTCTTGTTGAAATCCAGTGTTGGTAAAATATC